TAGTAAAGTGTTAAAAATGAAGGGACGTAGAAAAGTTAATAAGAAAAACATTCCAAAACAAAGACAAAAATGGTTCAATCAGAAATGTCATACACTCAAAAAGAATCTTCGAAACCTAGGTAAATTGATTACTATATATCCAAATAACACATATCTAAAACATACATTTTTCTCAAAAAAGAAAGAATATAAATGTTTACTAAGGAAACTGAAAAGACAGTTCCATAATACCATATTAGAAAAAATTGAAGCTTTAGCCGACAATAACCCCAATGAGTATTGGAAGTTAGTAAATTCTATTAAGACTAGTCAGAAGTCTAAAGACCATAATGAAATATCATCTTCTGAATGGTTTGAATATTTCAAAAATCTCAATAAGAATGAGCATCTTTGCTCAGAGGAGTCAAGTACTGAAGCCAAAATTGTTAAAGATTACAATAAGTGGGCAGCACAAAAAATCGATGTTCTTGATCGACCGATTTCCACTGAAGAATTATACAAGATTTCAAAAAAACTGAAAAATAAAAAGCATGCGCCAATGATCCATTATCGAATGTAATCATTAAATTGTCAGTGGAAATTTTACCATCATACTTTGTTAACTTATTCAACCTTATCCTTTCTCAGGGCGTATTTCCTTCAGCTTGGTCTAAAGGGTTTATAGTGCCATTACATACTATTAATCAGGTAATACTGATGAGCCGAATAACTTCAGAGGAATTTGTACGAGCAGTTGTTTAGGAAAATTTTTCACATCAATAATGAATACACGCCTTAATGACTTTTTGGAAAATAAAGAAATTATAAACAAGTGCCAAATTGGATTCAGGAAAGGTTACAGAACAGCAGATCATCTTTTGGTTTTGAAAACATTAATTGATACATATAAATTAAAACGTAAACCGATTTTTGCTTGTTTCATCGATTTTAGGAAAGCCTATGATAGGGTTTGGAGAAAGGGTCTCTTTTACAAATTAATCATAAATGGTTGCAGCAAAAAATTCATACGCCTTATGTTAAGTATGTACTGTTCGGTAAATTCATCTGTTAAATTAAACAAGGGAATTACTCCTTTCTTTAAATCATCTATAGGAGTTAAACAAGGTTGTAATCTTAGTTCTACACTTTTCAACATTTTTGTAAATGATATACCAAACTTATTCAATAGCTCGTGCGATCCGGTCAAACTTGGTAATATTGACTTGAGTTGTCTACTCTATGCAGACGACTTAGTAATACTATCCGAATCAAAATCTGGTCTACAAAATTGCTTAACTAAACTTCAGTCATACACAAACTACGAACCGTCTATGACTACGAACGACTACGAACCGTCTACGGTTGAACTATGGCGTTCATTACTTATACTATATTAAAATACAATATTTACAAACCACACAAAGTCATTCAAAATAGCTATCTTGTAGTATGCTATTCCTTAAATAAATTTTACGTGTGATGAAAATACTTACACGCTTTTCCATTCCTCGAACAATTCTTTACTGGCCTTCACTTTCTTGTCTGAAATTTACCCGTTTGTCGTTTACGTGTAGACCATGGTTTACCGCGGGAAAACGGGTAGAAATTACGGGTAAAAATGCTGACATCAGCAAAAATTGGTAAACAAAATGGCGATACTCGTACCCGTAAACCGGAACCGGGGTATCTTAACCCATAGATATAGGAGGTATAGATCGCCGACTCAGCTCGCGAGGCGTGACATTTTGAACAATCCAAGATGGCGGAACAAGCGGGAAAAAAAAAAACGCGGGAAATTTTTTTCCATATAAACACATTAGTTTTCGAGCGTTCTGCGAAGTTCTCGACTGTTTTGAAGTGTTTTAAAGCGTTCTGATTTTAGTTTTTTGGCGAAAATATTGAGCAACACCCACCTGGCTTTGTTTTTATTATCCAAAACTACAATGCCACAGTCTTGAGCGCGAATGAGCGACGTAGAACTGTACGAATAAAAGTCTGGAGAGTGACATCGAACAGTGGAATTGCTATTTCATTCCACAGGTAGAATATGCATTTTATAAATGTTTTAATGCCACCTTTTTCCGACTTTAGTGGGAAAATATAGTTTATCTTAAATAGGAAAATATAGTTTATCTTTGTATTATCCATCCTTTTGCTAAAAACTATAATAATATATGTATTCTTTTCCATTGTTTTCAAAAAGTTCCAGCTCGCCATTTTCTACAGTGCTCAGTAGCTCACTGTTCACACTTGAAACATTTATAGCATCTTTTTATTTGCAAAAAAAGACTTGAACGTAAATTTCAATGCCCACTATGATTTGCATAATTAAATTATAAATAAACTGATAAACATTTAATATGGCAAGCATAAAATTGCTCTCAGCCTCTCATGAAGTATTCCAGCTAAATTACCTGCTATAAATATTTTCAAGAACTATCCATAACTTCAGCAGATGCATCATTGCATCAAAACAAAGTAAAACAACAAATCCCAAACATTTTCCAATCAAAATATCAACAGAAATTCACAGGCAACAACTATACCAACAACTATACTGTATATACAGACAGGTGTGCTGAAAATATAGGTCTAACTATAAAGAGCTTCAGGCCATGCACAACCTCTTGAGATAAAGCAGTTTAAATATATGAAGGTTCATGAATGTTTATGAAATGAAGGTTTATCCATTCAACTTCTTTCATGTAATTTGTGCAATCCAATAAAATATATACCCTTATGTTTTCATTAACCCATTAAGCTGCAGAGCTTCCCCATTGACAATTAAAATCGTCAGGCGTTAGACAAGTACTAGTAAAAAAATAAGTATAGGGCGCACTGGGGCACATTGCGGCTCAATGAGTTAATTCAAGGCTTACAAGAGAAACCTGCAAAATATCTACTTGTTGACAAACTTTGGGGAACAATCCAGCAACTCCAACAGCATTACATGCATTTGCATACAATGCATTGCTACCAAAATAGACACAAATGGACAATGAACAGAATATTTATTTCACAATTGTTGAACCATACAAAATATGAAATAAGCAACTTCAGCTACAAAATTCAAATATATTTTTAAAAATGTATGAAAATATGCCAACCTAGGCTACATTACGGATAATTTCACATGCAAATCATAACTGCAAACATTTGTCAATTTAACCCTTTTGGCATAATGGTGCATAATCCAAGTGGGGGCATATGCATACACAATTTAAGACCTACTGTAACCAGGAACGGTTGCGAACACTAGGTCCTCTTCCAGGAATCGAACCTGTGGCCCTGCAATTCCAGTGTAGCACTCTAACCAACTAATGCACCTTTCAATGTTAAGCCTGGGGAGGCAAGGGGTAGAGATTTGAACAACTTTGCTTGCCCGACGGGGAGGATTTTGATGTCGCAAGATCACCCTGCGGTGTGGACAGGGCCACCGAGAGAATATGTAGGGCCTCGGACAAATCTTCCCTGGGGGCCCCATGACATTATTTTTAAGCTAGACCCAACTAGACCTTAGCTAGACTGCATGTGGAGGTACAGTAAGGGGCTCTCAATTTCAAAAATGCTCTGACCAATTTAAAGAAACTACTCAATTTTAGGCTCTTCCTCTCAAGTTGGGGCCCTATTATGGTGGGGGCCTGGGGCAATTTGCCCCTTCCCCCTGGCCCCCTCTCGGCGACCCTGGGTGTGGCCATTTGATCTTTCAAGGCAGCCCATGGCCAGGCAATTTTGAATATTTTTTATTCATACACAAATAATGGGAATGAGTCCATGTCACTGGCCTATACATATTGTCACTGGCCTATACTTAGATTGTTGGAACAGGCAATTTAATAGTCTGCTTTGTTGAAGTACAACACTTTGGGTTATTAGTTTGATCATGAATGCAATATAACAAATTTTCCCAGCCCCCACATGGGGGAAATACTACTGTTTTTTGACCCAATATTGATTTCCTCAGGTGGGGAGTATTACCATTTTTTGACCAATGGTGGTGTCCCTGGGGTGTAGATTTTGACATTTTTTTCAGGAAAATGTCAAATCCCAACCCCATGCCCCCCCCCCCGGGCTTAACATTGATAGATACATAAGCTGCATAGGCCAGTTGCCAAGCTGCAACCACAAGTTCATGTTCAGTTATATATAGACTTTCAGGTGTGTGGACTTTTGATAAGGTAAACTTGAAAGATGTGTTTTGCACTTCACTTGGTTGAACTAGAATGTTGGGTTTAGTGGATAATCCAAGCAAGCATATATACACAGTTTAAGACCTAAGGCGACAGGTTTGATTCCTGCCAGAGGACCTAGTGTTGTACTTTTTGCAACCGTTCCTGGTTAGGTCTTAAATTGTGTACATATGCCCCCACTTGGATTATCCAGCATTCACTGTCCAGAAAAACAATCCCATAATATTACAATTTCAATCGGCATTATGAACAGAACACTGTGACAAACCGAGAAAGAGCTTGAACCTGACAAGATAATTGTGGGAATGCTTGACAGCTCTCCAGTATAGTGTTTGGTTTAACATTTATAGAGGGTTCATAGTGTAGCAATTTCTTTCATCCATAAAATGTGTTGAACATGTTTGATGCCTTGGTGGCTTAAGATCAAAATATACTACCAGATCAGTCATCCTACCCCCGTACATCCCCAAACAGCTCCAACTACTTAATTTCCCTCAAGAGTTATATGGCACTTAATAGTTCCTTCGCCATCAGTTGTGAAAATAGTCCAAGTCACAGATAAAATCCTTCGTGAAAGACTCCATCAGTGGCATTTAATGAAGAAAGAATCCCTCCAAGTGATTAAACAGCAAGTTCTGCCGGAGACCAAGCCATCTACATTCACTTCCTTGGGGCAGTACTCATGAGAATGCCATATTCTTGACTAAAATTTACGAGATGACCATATTGCACTCCTAATCCACTCCATTTCAGACCTCTAGGCCAAGATATTTGTCTACCGCTTCGGAAAGATCCATTCGGAGAAAATAGTTCGAGATGAAAAGCCATCAGAGAGACAAAAAATTAACAAACTAATCCTCTTTGGTAATGATTAACATTGGATTCGACAGCATAAATGTCCATGTAGTTGAATAACTCGACACATTTCAGCTGAATATTTCGAGATATAAAAGCAAAAAAAACCACACTGAATCCTTGAATGACGTTAATAAAGATAATATTTTTTAAATAAAACCAAAATCGTAGCGAAATTCCATGTAGATTTTCCACAATAAGTGCTTGAAAATACCCATATTTACCTGGTTTTCCTATGTCACTTGCGTTTTTTGCCCGCTTGTTCCGCCATCTTGGATTTTTAATTTTGGTCACGTCTCGTTTCTAGTCTTCAGAATAGGAGTCGGCGATCTATACCTCCTATATCTATGTCTTTACCTCTCTAATACCCAAACCTACCGGTGATTCTTAGCGTCCAACGTATTTGCTCCTTTCCTTCAGTTTTCCTCAAGCTTTCTCTTCAACGAGCATATATAATTGGATATAAACTTGATAGGCAAAAGTTCTTACTATTCTTACGGACACATTTGTATCCGGCTAAATTTTGAAATTCGCCTGTATCCAAGTCAAACTGATTGTTGTCTGCCATAATTATGTATTCTCACGTTCAGCCGCCTGCCACTTTCAAAAATACGATCTCTCTTACGTTTTCAATACTATTTTCGACAGTTCGAGATTCTCGATATCGCCTGTCGTAAACTCCGAAGCCACGACTACATTTGCTAACGCATACAGCCTCTTCTATGAGCAGATTTTGCATTCATCTTGTCAAAATATAAATGTTGTGCAAGTTACGTAACCGTCCCCATGTTTTATGACATTGACAGAAGATTTTCTGTTTGCAATGCAAATATCCGCATCCAACATGGCGAAAATCTCTTTGTCCTTTGAATCCCATGGGAGTGCTATAATTGAATTGCCTGAGTCCTATACCGAACACATGAGCATGGGTGCGTAAACACAATTGAGTCGAATTTTATGATCGTTCAACATATGAATATAATTCGCTCATTAGTTTAACGCATCGCGCAAAAGAGTGAAAACTCTTTGCTCTGTAGTCAGTTGAACTAATTTTAATCGAACTGACGGGACTATAATTGCTAAGTCGTTTTAACTTTCAATTAGTTGACCTGCATCTAAGGACGTATAAACGAGCTTATTATATTCAGTTATAAAATTTGCATAGCCAAAAATCTCAAATTTGATTGTTTACATGATGATATGTGCTAATAAGGTGCATAATAGCGACCTAAGTTAGTGTAGATTTTACGGTTAGATGACAGATGAAGATAATTATATATTTAATTATACAAGGTGTATCAAAAAAAGCGCAACCTCGGAATTTCCCAAGAAATCGACATTGTTTTAAAGACAAAAGATTTTAGGCGCCTGGGAATTTAAAATAGCACAACTGTCAAAATTACTGCACACGCGAGTGCATAAAGCAAAATTTATGCATTTATTTAATGCACAACAACAGTAATATGATCTATTAGCAATTCGATTTCAATTCCCAGGGGCCTAAAATCTTTTATGCTTAAGAATTGCAAAGTAATTTCTTAGGAAATTCCGAGGTTGCGTTTTTTTTTATACACCCTGTATATAGAATAAACATGGTGCGCGGAAATACCAGATTTATTTCTAGTGTTGAACATGATATCTCACGAGTGAGCGCATAATTATTATATAAATGACAGTCTTTGAAAAGCGATAATTTTTACAGAAAAGCGATAATTGAAAAGCGATAATTTTCACATGTGAAATTAGGCAAAAATAATCTCACATGTGAGATTATCAGTTTTATCAGTGCTCGAAATCTCCATAAAGCACTACATACTTTATATATAAAGATATATAATTATGTAGTTACGAACTGATCTTAAAAGTATAGATCATTCAGCATCGAAGTAACTACAACTAGATTTAAAAGGACATGTCATGCACTATTCGACGTACATATTATATTAATGTTGAAACATTGTTGTGCCAGGACATAATTTCATTCGCATTACAAATTTGGTAAAATTTGCATGAATATATGAACAGAACCGTCAATTAAAGAATAAAAGAATGATCGAATAGATACAGTATACAAGCGAACTCATATGCAACTCAATGTCGTAACTCGTTCACTCCTTTCAGGCTGAAGCCTTATAACTAAAGGCAAAGCGGCCAGTAAGCTATAACTAGTAACGAAACTGCAGTTTCGTTTAAGATATACAAAAGTTTGACGCATACATTTCACAACGCCGCAACTCACAATTATACTGTATATTATACTGTTCGGAAATATAGTATTTTTTTTAATGTCACTAAACTTAGTTCATATACGCATAACTTAATTATATGTGAGCTTCTGCAGTACAGACTGCAAGCGTGCTACACAAACAATTTGACTGATGGCTCTAAGACCAAGAGTGGCAATAGATGATTCCCCTTATTACGTTTTCGTAGCACTTTGCATTGTGGTTATAGTGGTATCACTGATATTCAAGATGGCTTATTTTTTGTCCCGACCTGTGCAAGAACTTTTAGAAAAAGCTAGGGTCAGGTGGCGGTAGTCAACAGCAAAATATTCGCGAAAACATTCAATATTTTCATTCGAAGCCACTATATTTATCAGTATAAATATAGTGGCTTCGAATTAAAATATTGAATGTTTTCGCGAATATTTTGCTGTTGACTACCGCCACCTGACCCTAGCTTTTTCTAAAAGTTCTTGCACGGGTCGGGACAAAAAATAAGCCATCTTGAATATCAGTGATACCACTATAACCACAATGCAAGGCGCTATGAAAACGTAATAAGGGGAATCATCTATTATGACAAGCACGACAATATATTTGTCCAGCTGAACGAAATATGCTTCGCGAAATGTACAATTTTGACAGGCACACAGTTCGAGTATAGGTTTTCTATCTATACAAATTGTCCTTTGTATATAGTAATAGTAAAGTCTAAAGATAAATCCCATTGGGTAGATTAACAGTGGTTTGCGAGCATAATCTGTCAAAATGACTATCTGCATACTATACAGGGTGTCTCAAAAAACCCCAAAATCATTGAAATTGACGTATTGTTCGATATTCAATGCCCTAGCACTAAGTTAATCCCACGAGTGCATAAAAGATTGACATAACTGCTATAATGAATGGTAATACTCAGCGTAAACTTGTTATGTCAGGCATAAAGTACTAAACCCACGAATTTACGAAGCATTTTTAAATTCCCATGAGCAAACAAACGTTCACTTTACAAAGATATTTTAATTTTTTAAAACAAATTAATCACCCTGTCAAAATCCTTTGTGTTACGGCATTGAAATTCGAACAATACGTTATTTCAATGATTTTGGGTTTTTTTTGAGACACCTGTATAGTAATGATTTATTACCTAAATTTCATGACCATGCAAATTACAAAACGAATAACTCAGGACAACATACTGTACAGTATTTATCAAATTAGACAGGTAATGCAACAGCCAATATAGAATCTTACTATTTCGCGTTTAGCCGTGTTTTGCATATAGGTCATATAACGAGAGCCAATAAGAAACAGTGATTTTGCGTGTCTTTCGTCGCGTTAATGATATTTTTGAGACAGAGGCTTTATGTCCTTAGATGCAGGTCAACTATTATATAGAACTTTCATGAACAATTTGTGCAGTTTTAATATCATTAAATTAAACTCTCATGCAGAAGTAATGAAGTTTGGGTGTTTACAGCAAATAAAATGATTTCTAAAAGGTCACTTTTTTAGCCACCCTGTTATAAGGCATATTGATGGTGCTCGAAAAAATGCTAATGAAACTCTGGAATTGGAATAATTAATTGTCATTGCTCTGTAATTATTTAAGTAATTATTTCGTCAAATGACCATTGACAATGGACTATGTTTACGATAACAATACAGCAAACAATGCAAGTTATTTTATCCAGAAGATTACATGCTTGACCTAGGTTTAGAAGATTTATTCTCTAGTGAAATTTAGCCATATGATGGAGGAGCAGTGGGATGTTTTTGTGACTTGTACGAAAGCAAAGGCAGAAGTTCATCAAAAAGTTGCGAGATTTTGGTCGACAGTCGACACAGCATTTGGATTCTCCCTAATTCTCATCTCAGGTAATTAAAGCTTTAGTTTGCAATTTACACGTTTACAAAAGTAGTTGCAATCACAGACTTTAAGGTATGTTTTTATGGAACAAACCTACATACCTCCAGTGTTATTATTTGTTCTTGGCCGTCTAATATAAGGGCCTGTTCATATGGGCAAAATTTATCCCGGTTAACGAGAGAACTTTTCGACTAGCCAAATACTTTTGTTCTGTTCATATGGAGAAATATTATCCCACTAACCGGGAAAAGTTTCCGGCTGTGACGTAGCACTAAACATCAATTGAATTAAAAAGTTGCTGACACGACAAAAAGTTATCCCGCTAAGCGGGAAAGTTGTGTTCATATGGGGAAAACATTAACCCGGTCACCGAGATCTCGCCTGTCAACAAGCAAGATCTCGGTACACGGGAAAACTTTTCGTCTCATATGAACACAATGTAACTTTTCATATTATTTTCGTAACAAGGCGAGATCTCGCTCGTAAACTTGTCGAAAAGTTTCCTCGCTAACCGGGATAACTTCTGTCCATACAGGCCCTTAGGGCCTGTTCATATTGGCAAAATTTATCCCGGTTAGCGAGAAAACTTTTCAACAAGTTCACAAGCGAGATCTCGCCTTATCATGGAAATAATATGAAAAGTTACACTGATTTCATATGAGACGAAAGTTTTCCCGTGTACCGAGATCTCGCTTGTTGACAGGCGAGATCTCGGAGACTGGCATAATGTTTTTATCATATGAACACAACTTTCCCGCTTAGCGGGATAACTTTCTGACGTGTCAGCAACTTTTCAATTCAATTGTGTTCAGTGTTACGTCACAGACGGAAACTTTTCCCGGTAAGCGGGATAATGTTTCTCCAAATGAACAGAACTAAAGTATTTGGCTAGTTGAAAAGTTTTCTCGTTAACCGGGATAACTTCTGCCCATATGAACAGGCCCTAAGTCGGTTTAAATCGTTGTTAACATATATTCACCGTTCCAACCAATCATAACTCGTGCATAACTATGTGTATAACCAATCGTGCATAACTATGTAAATACATCTGCATAACTATGCTTCGCTTTGCTTCGCTATGCTTCGCTATGCTTTGCTATGCTTCGCTATGCTTCAGTGCAGGCCAACTACTGTGACATAGAGCATGATTGTTTACGCGAGATCAACCTAAGCTAGGCCACGTTGTTTTATATCGTTGTTAACATATATTCACTGATCCAACCAATCGTAACTCGTGCATAACTATGTGTATAACCAATCGTGCATAACTATGTAAATACATCTGCATAACTATGCTTCGCTTTGCTTCGCTATGCTTCGCTTTGCTTCGCTATGCTTCGCTATGCTTCAGTGCAGGCCAACTACTGTGACATAGAGCATGATTGTTTACGCCAGATCAACCTAAGCTAGGCCACGTTGTTTTATAGACTTGTTCTCGTGAAATTTTAACTCAACTTTCCATCGCCGGAGTGTGGTTTTCGTGAGATATTTTATAACGGTAAGTACGATATGTTAGCAAAATGTTCTTATAAATGATCATGGCTCTCATTTGCCACTGATTTGCTTCTTTCAATTAATGTAATTATAGGTCACAGTATAAACTGTACACGTTTTATCATATGTATTGAAATCCGGCATATGTCCAACTTTACACATTGGTAAATCCAATGAATGACTAAGATATACACAGCATAGATAAGACTGCCCCCTATGTGCAAATGTCTTTATATGCCAATACATACACTGAAAGGTATGCAGGAAACTTAGAAACATATTCAACCATCGGCATGACAAACATTTTTCCAAAACTGATATGAAAATATGCATTATTCTCCTTGTCTTGTGGCAATAAATATGCCTTATAGTTGCGCCGACACATCGCTTCCATTTAGTTAAATTTGTTAAATAGTCTAAATTAAATCTTCGATATCTTGAACTTTCTAATAACACAAAAGATAAAATAACAGTCGCAGCGTAATATTGCACAATTTTGTTGATCGCTGACCTGTTGCAACTGTGCTCTTTGTTTAAACGTGTTATATTTTTTGGTCATGCTTCGTCAGAAGAGCATGACTAAATGCCATTTCCTGCGTTCTGAGCACTGAATGTGACCATTAAATTTGTCCTCACTGTACTCATTTTTCAAGCAAAAACAAGAACTCAAAAAGTGCAAAGTACTTCATTCAAAAAAGTTTACTTAATTCTTGTCTATTATAAGAATTTTTTGTTTAATTTTTAAACCGCCTGAATCATGATTCAAGAGAATATTGGCTGTTACAAAATTTTCACTTGCAAATGATCTTGTACAATGCTAGGGATGTTAGGCCGCGTTTACAATTTACCGTAGCGTATTCATTTGCATTCGGAGTACCAAACGTAGTGGTCCGTAGTTAATACGCTACTGCAAACCACTCCGGTATAATATAATCTCAATACCACAATCAGGAGTAAAAATTATTGAGACAACCGCATAAATGCTCCCCCTTACCCCCAATTCAATGTTGTGTGAATGACTGAAAAGAGAAAATTTAACCCACTTTTTCCAACATTGATCATGGGGGCAGGGGGAAGGACGAGTTTCCCACTTCTGGGGAAGAGTCCCCCCCAATTTTCCCGCTTGAGCGCTTTTGCTTTCTTTTAATTTAATAACCAATTAATTTAAAATACAGTATTATACTATTTTCATGAGTATTATTTGATTTTTTCTGTGTTGGTGTAATGTACTCAGCGCCATATATGGCATATTGGTATTGTTTATTTAACAGCAGTAATTATATTAACATTATCATAAACACCGGAACTTCCGGTTTATCGCTAGTCACTCATGTGACTGCTTGTACTTCGAGAATACGAATTTCTCTGTAAAAACATATAGTTTTATCGTTCGTTATTTGTGTGTCTTCTTTACTGGTGTAGGTGAATATGATGCTTGTGATGTTACTCTGAGTGTGTATATCCCCCCCGGGCAAGCAAATGTTGGCTTTGTTGCACATTTTAACTATTAAGAGTGAGTTCATTTACGTCAAATTACATAAAACATTTTTCTTTTGAAAAAATTCAGGCCATTAAGCAAAAAATAGATAATCAAAAATCGCTACATGCAACCTGGTACTCGTCGGTATTCAACAATATGGTTTTGTACAGTATATCTGTATATATAAATAAAAGCTACCAAAACTTGTGTGTATAAGGTATAGAAGACTCTGAAAATGCCATTTCCAACGATCTAGACTCTAGAGACTCCACGTTTTCAAAGGCCCACCCCAAAGCAAAATCTAACAGATGTTTTTTCCCCCGAATGTTGGCAACCATATGATAGGGTAGTATGATTAAATGTGGCTTCATTTTATAAGAACTTTAAATTACGAATGTGCCTTTTGTTATTACATGTGGGGTCAAGTATAATTGTGTTACCCTCAAGGGGGAAGGGGTGGGGTGGGGTGGGGGCAACGCAATTTTAACATATAATTTTTTATTTCCACCAGCCTCTCCCTCACTTGTACAGTAATTAATGCCGATCCCTTTAAAGAGATTGAGCGATTTATTTACCGAGGCGCGCATTTCAACTTAGAAGAGGAACAATACAGTAACACGAAACCATAGACATAGCTTGAAATTGATAGAGACAATATAATCCTAAGTAGTTTTCCTCGCCGGATAGCGAAATCAGCAAGTGGGCAGTGTTCTTAAAATGATCATGCGAAAATGCCCTGAAAATGTTAGACATATTAAATGTTTCAACAACAACCTCGTTCCCAAAGCATTTCAAGACAAGATTTGATTTTGGCTAGATTCGATAACTTTAGACACTTTTTAAGCACTTACTCGCTGGGTTTTCTGTTTTTGAAAGAATGAATTGTAACAAAAGTATTAAACCGCAACTAGTAAATTTGATTGCATTTTCGGGGCTATGACCTTTCTAGATCGATTTTCGCCCTTGCTTTGGATATCTGGATACATGCATAATGAAAATTGTGAGGAATATTCCATCGTAAATAATCCTAGTTGGAAATGTAGTGCAGTACATTAGGAATGTTTTTACTGGTAAATAAACCATGTAAAAGACAAAATTTATACTTTACAAAATCTACATAGCACAAATTTAATTAAAATAGTAAAACTACAGTCACAACTTATAACATGGGTTAATATCTCTCTGGATATTTGAACATATAATACAGTTTTTGTAAGAGGTATTTGCAAACATGTATCCCTAAATCACCTAAGTAGTAATATAGGTACCGTTCGAACCGCTGTGGGTATTCTCTATAGATATTGGAGGCCTCAAGTTTGGCAACGAAAATCAAAATATTTCCAGCGAAATTTGAAGATATTGCAAGATTATCTATCATAATATACACTTAAGAAGTTAATTTTAGCTTGTAATCCATCAACGACTGTGAATGACTTTCACGGTATATACGTTTCAGATATCCACAAACGACAAAATTCGATATTTTTCGCAAAACCCACAACGTATACAAACCATAACGAAAATATCTTCCCTTGTATTTCGCTTGGTGAAATAAAAAAATATTGTGTCTACATGGGGTGGGCGGGTTAATTACTTTTTAATGACTCTGTAATATGCAAATATCAACCATAAAAACTGTTATCGACGATATTGGGAAATGGTGTACAGAAAGTGATATGGTACTTGATCACGCCAAAGGTAAAGAGTTGATCATTTCGTTTACCAGCTTTCGTCCACTGTTTGTTGGAGAACATTGTATTTTCCAGGTTTCGTCGGCAAAATTCCTTGGTCTTATTTTCTCGTCTGATACTCATTGGAACTTGCATATTGAATACATCGTGGCAAAAGCATCAAAGAGACTATACTTTCTCCGAGTACTTAAACGAAGCGGAGTTGGAGTGAATTATCTTATCCAAGTAATTTTTATATGCATACGGCCTATCCTTGAATACACATGCCACGTTTGAAACTACGGTGCTCCAGATTATTTAAGAAGAAGTTTAAAGAATTCAAAAATGCGCCTTACGAATAATA